TTTGACATTTGATCTTTCTGGCAACAGAACTGTCATCGTATCTTTTTTATGCTCATCCTAAGATTGCATATATGGGGTGTTTGGCTGGTAAATCAGCACATAACACGAAAAAGTATCTCATCAGGAAACTAATTTTACTTGGTCGAAGTGGCAGTTTGAAATGAATCAGATAATTATATTTCCATCTTTGCCGAGCACTCCGCTGAAAAAGTAATGGATGTTTTTTCTCTGCCAGAAAGGGCTTATAAGACCTTAAAATGCTGGGAAGTTTAACTTTGACACAAAATTGCAGCGCATAGACTGAATATTATCGAAATTTGTATCTATAGTAATATAGCCCTTTGCATTTAAATTTCAGATTGTATGTATATTGTACAGCAATTATTGATGAGCTGCACAAGCTAATTTTGGCACAGAAAAACTTTCACAAAAATCTAACCTAGCAGTTATGGATGGCGCCTTTCTTGACTGTTTAAAGCGAATATTTTCTGCTTTATATACTGCAGATTTATATCTGCAAACAAAAATTTGCATTTCAGAATTACCCCGTGTAATACCAAAACAATCTTCCATTCATTTCCAAAATTTTGGGTGTAAACATTACTCTGCCAACTTTTTTCTTTTGATTATCTCTCCCAGTTGGATAAGTAGTACAAATAATGGATCTCCACTTCTAATTTTGAGCTGAAATTAAGTTTAGGTGTTATCTGACACCGGTCCAGCTATTATGATCAGTGCACTAACGAATATATCTGCGGATGCCGTAGGTGCATTCACCAGCTCTCCCGAGATCACTCTTCTGTGCTATGGAAATGCTGCTTCTATATTTGTCGATTTCATTTATCAAGTGAGTGCATTTCTAGATTCTGAAGTCCTAATAATCAGAATAATTATTCAGATAACCCTATACAGTGCTGTAATGGTGCTAGCTGGTCATTTTGAGGTGGAAAACGAGCGTGAACTGAGTCTCACTCAAAGAGTGGAATGTGGCGCTGATGGGACTTGCGATAGTTTGGATAAGGTTAGAAAACAAATTGCTTAAAGATATGTTGTAAAAAACGAAATTTCTGCAGGAGTCGGTATCATCTCTCCTACAAAGACTTTGTGACAAGTTCTCGTCATTTCTTGACGACTACGTGGCTTTAGTAACGAACAAGGTGTTTGATTTGACAGTTGTCATAGTGTGGATCGTTTTTGTTCTCATATCCATAAAAGGCATCACTCAAATTCCAATTAATCTAACGCCAAAGAAATTGTTCAGCAGTGATTCAACACTTCGAGAGGTAATATTATAGTATCCAAGGGATTATACCGATTACAGCATCTATGCTTTCTTTTGCAGATGGATGACCTCCGCGTTTCTTATGTCGTCCCACATTTTACGCTTGCAACCATATTTGTGAACAGGCCTGGTAATTTATCGGACAAATCCCGCCTTGCAAGGTAAGATCTCGAAGATGCAATTCTTTTCCAATGAAGAAATCAATCTTAAGGTTGAACTCGTTTGTTGCCGAAATGGAGTCACTACCTGGTGCATGGGGAAAACGTAGCTCTAATTATTTTATGAGGGATTTTGTCGAGTATGAAAAAGGAAATAGTGAACAGTTTGAAGAAGGCGAAGAAATTGAGAAAGGTAGAACATAATCAAATTCGTTATCGTTACTGAAAAAACTTGTTATACTTCCAATTACAGATGTTTTGCGTATGAAAGACCTACCGGCTTTCCTCGAATGGCCTGAGTATGAGTATTGGCGCGGTTTTGTGCGATTTAGGGAGAATTCAACGTGAGAGTCAACCTTCAGGGTATTCCCATACCTCGATTTTCTAAATTAGTTTCTTTCAGTGAGCTGGAAAGATTTTTTCTAACTACTGCTTATCATGGCGATCACCTCAAAATGTGGATCAACAGGGACAAACTACTAAAAAGTTCTCGAGCTGTAGTCGACAAATATGTGTAAGCTTTCTTTTTGCAAAAGTTGACTATTTTT